CTGCTGTAGGCTGAGTAGGTGGATACATTTAAAGTTGGTTCTAGTGATGTCACAGAAACAACAAACTCAAACAGGCTGTTTTTGCAGTCTGCTTTTCATATATGGACGGTATGGAGTGGGGAGTGAGGTATGTTCTGAAACTTTAACATTGTTTACATATCTCCTGTATTTAAAAAGGCAAAAGAAATTTGGCTTTCAGTGATATGGGCCCTTTAATGTAACCATACTTTATTCCAAGTAATTTTGGGGTGTTTCTATTGATCCAGTCATCACGAACTGCTCACACATTATAGAGGGCCGCATTTCAAATAGTGTAAAAAATAAGCATTATGAGGTTTTGATATGAGCTCAGAAACGTACCCTCAAGGGTGTTAGCACTGTGTGAAAGCACGCGAGGCTGAGCTGTTGCAGGGGAGAGAGAGCAGAGAGAGAGCCAGGGGGCATGGGGCGGGCGAGCAGGCCACTGTGAAATGCGCTGTGGCAGCTGGAGTCAGGAGTCAGGCTGGGGCAGCTGAGCATGGGAGCAGCTGGTGTGATGGTGCACAGGCCCACTCCACTCGCTGGAGAAACCTAAAGGTCAAGTGCTGGTTTAATGTTGAGATGGGATGATCAGAGAGAGCAAGAAAAAAGAAAGAGAGAGAGAGAGGGAGAGAGAGAAATAATGCTTACCGGTTTCCACCCCCTCTGTCCTTGGACTATTATTATTATTATGACGCTGAGACTGGTGAAGCGTGGCATGCATTCTATTTCTCTCTGTAGTACTTATACAAGGAAAGAGTGAGAGCAGTATTTAAAGAAGAGCCCCAGGCTGCCAACTGTATGAGTACATTCTGGATGAATATCTGTATGAAAAAGAAATTTCATGCAAGCCAAGGACGTACGCTTTCAAATGAATGGCTTCAGGGCCAACATGAGTTCATATACAGCTAACCTAGCTCTGTTCCAGAGCAAATGATCACTGACTTAACAGCAATGACCATGTTTTGCTTTGATAAACAGTTATTAACGTGTAGAATAACTTGACTTTCAAGCAAATAACAGTGTTGTCAGGCCAAACTTGCAATTAGCAGAGATTTCCACAAACTCAAAGAATAAATTAATGCAGACTTAATTATTATCTTGCTATAAATGACTGTGAAGTAATGACAGAAAGCAATGTTTGGCTCTTTGGAAGAAGTTTAGTTAAGGTAAGCTTTAGAAAAATGTAATTTAATTAAGATTAATTAAGAGCAGAGAGTGTTTCTTTAATTTATAATAATAATTGGCTCATGCTGTTATCCTAGGTGCACTTTATGTGTAGTGCACTGAAAAAAGTGGCTCTTCAGATCTACTTAGAAAAATTAATTAATGTGGTAACAAGTAAATGAACTAGTTTTATTCAACTCAAAAACGTACTTTTATTTAAAGAATCGTTCATTCGAATATTTATTTAGGTTGAATAAACCTAGTTAATTTACTTGTTACCACATGAAGTAATTTTTTAAGTAGATCTGACGAGCCACTTTTTACAGTGTGATTTCATGTTATTGAGCCCATTAAAAAGTTTTAAATCTGACCGTTTTAGTTCACACATTTAACAGTGTAAGGGTAACGGACATTAAATCAGCTTAGTTTATTATCTCTGTAAAATGCGACTGATTTGCCATGAATTTATTCTGAAGTGCCGCAGTGGAGGAATGAAACTGCTGCCATGTGACGTAATAACAGGCTTTTCTACCAGAATCCCCCAAAATGAGCTCCCTCTAATTGCACTGTAGCACAATTACAGAGGTGGCTATGATACATTACATTCTGTTGTTAAAGCACTTCATCTTTTTGAAAATGCGGCTCAGGCTGATCTTTTGGTTTAGTTCAATGATATAGTACAGCAATATTGCAAGACGCAGATTGGAGGGACTATGTTTCTGCCCTTGTGTGTGCCCTCAGGGTGAAGCAAAGCTAGAACTCACACTTTCAAAAGGCTAGCTTCCAGCTGGGCGAGTTGGGAGTGATTTAGTGTTTTCACACCCTGGCAGAGTCCTGGCAGAACTTTCAGCAAGAGCAGAGGAGCCTGAAGGTCACTTCCATTACTTATTAACAGGAAGATCTGATCAATACTGGAGATTAATAACAAAAACCGCAAAAGGATCTGAGCAGGAGTGTAAGGCCGGCTTGGATTTTCTTAGCTGTGGTAATCAATAAAGTCATAATTCGATGGTCATTATACATATTTTTTGCAATCATGGTTAATCTGTGGAGAAAAATGGCATACTGATGAGAGGGATATCGCTCTGCTGTCTGTAGAGGGAGAATGAATTAGAGCTGAAAATGTTAATGGCTTTTTACAAGTATCATCCTTGATGGCTAATCTGTCATCAGGCATGCATATCGCTGCTGAAAACCTAAGAATTCCCTCGCCGGTGTTTATATTCTAATGCTTTCAATGCATTTTTGCCATTTTTTTTCCCGAATGGATTTGCTTTGACACCCACAAAAACAGGGAGGCAGTGGACAGAGCTGTGCAGATTCATTTCCTCATCTGTCTTATTCTGTCAGACCTTGTGTTTTTGGCAAAGATGTTAAAAAACAGCATTCCTGTCTCAATTTGGAACAGATTCTTTTGAGTGGAGAATGGGAGAGCCAGAAACAACTATAAAAAACAGCAGAAATAAATTGTTGTTGAAGTACAAAGCAGATAAAGAGATTATGCAGAATATGGGGTTCGAGTACATGTTTAATCAAGCATATTTTCTCAAATCAGAGGTTTCATTTAGCTCATTTCACCAGCAAGATAAAGGCATAATTTTTTGGCTTTTTGCAGTGAAAAGGTTGGTGTGCCACCATAGTGCAAAATAAAACCTCTCAGTGAGACATAAGCTGATAATTCTGCCTTTGTGAATACAACAGCACGAATGCTTTTCGCCTTTAATAGGACTTATGAATTGAAAAAGTAATGCAGTGAATTGAGTTGATTGAAATGTGTGCATAATTTACATATTAATAGAATATATTACTCCATGGTTTCGTCTTTCAGATTACATAATTTTGGTACTAATGACTTAAATTGTGTTGGTGTAATATTTAATTCACATGCAAATTAATCAAGTAATTTCAATGCACTGTTCTTTTCAGTGTAGAGTTAAACAGCTTATTTCAAAGTTTCTGCATAATTTTGTTTTGAGATGAAAAAACAAAGTCATTCAGAGTGGTTTGATGTGAAGTGGTTCATTGTAGAAAAACTTACTGAATCTGATTTCTTTACAGAGGTAGTGGTAGGAACAAGGATTCGCCATGTATACAATGCAAATATAGCCATTTTATTTACTATCCAACATAACCAGTTAAGCTACACATGCCTTCTGAGTTTTATATATAATATAATATATAATAGTGACAATTTTCTTTGGGGATTATTTTGCCTTGCTTTGCCCTGCATGTATTGGGCTTTAAAATTATATTTTGGGACAAAATGTTCATGTTTCATGTAATAATTTTTGTAAGGTAGCTGTTAAATGCTTCAGATATCTGATTCGTATTACATCTACTGTGAGAAATTCTGACTTGCAAAGTTTCTCTAGAGTGAAGCATTTCACATCAAACCACTCTGTATGACACTGTACACATTTTAATGGTTTAATTATGCAGAAATGTTGAAAAATTGGTGGAATTCCTTTAACTAGTTGGCTTGTTCTTTGCATTTACACTGTCCTTATATTTCATCGCATTATGAAAATGAATATATGAGTGGAGTTTATATCAGGAAAGTCTCTGAGGACAAAGTAATGGACTATTAAATACTAAATTAAGCGGATAGATGAAGCAGAGCATGGTATGAAGTTTTGCTGATGGCAAGCCACTAACTGCCAATAATGACTTTGAGTCTGTTCAGGCTCGGATCCGCAGGTCACTGTCCTTGCTCTTTGCCGCAGATATTTTAAGACAGCTCATATGTGACTGACGTACCTCATTTGCTGCTCTCTAGTCTTCTGGCCAGCACTGTGTGCTGGATCAATGGCAGGGAGGTGAACGAACCCCCATTGATCTGAGACAGGTGAAAGTCTGATTCTGGGACACAACAAAAAGTGATAGAGATGTTTTGATGGAAAGGTCTGGCAAGTACGGATTTGCATGGATGAACAAACACACTAGCATTGGTCTGGAAGCAATCCCATCTAGCGTACATCGCACCTACAAAATAGCATTTCCACTTCCTCTTGGTCTGTACTCTCCTTCTGGATGCAAGTCTGAATGTTGGAATTTGGCAGTTTTCCTGATTGGCTTTTAATGTGATTTGCATAAACAGGCAAGAGACTGTTTTATTACTATCCAAGAAGTGTGACCGTTTATTTTATCCCTACTTGTACTGCTCTAGACAAGATAAATTGATTGTTTAGACAGCAGTGATAAGCTTAATATTTGATTTGGTGAAAATGAAAAGAACACATTTCTTTGTAACAGTCTGGTTTATGGTGGCAAAATGTGCTACTATATGACAACCAATTATTGAATGTACACAAGAAAATGAACTTGTGCATGAACAACTTGCATATAATTTTTCCCCTATATTGTGACTTTCAGGAGCTCTTACAACTCATCATGACTTAATAGATAGATAGACAAATGTTTATTAAACAGCAGAGTAACAGCAGTCTGTACAAATCACATGCATATATTAGGACGAGCTATAAAATGTACAGATATACAAAACACTTACAAGAGACCTAAATGACACTATGGGTTTACATATATGTGCTTGAATACAACTGAATATTTGCATACAATATAACTTAAGGTAGGTGTTACTGTTGTGATGGATAGTATGATGGGCAGAATAACATGATGTGTGACTAAAGAACTACAAAGGTATTTGCAGGATACAATTAAACAGTAATTAAGTTAAACCACGTTTAGTTCTCAAGAGAGCATTGTAACAATGACTAGTTCAAACCTAATGACCTATCATGTCTAATGTACTATTGATGTCAGTTTCCCACTGACTTTTGTCTTTCTGTGTGTTTCAGGGGGGAACCAATTCACGGGCATCATCTCCATAACCAAGCACCTTAAGTGCCTCTTGCTGGAGCCATGCCCAACTCTGGAGACTGAAAGTGACCTGCCCTTCTGCCAAAAATAACTGTCTCAGCTCCTGCCAAAATGCTTTTAGTTCCGGTTTTATTATTCAACAATAAGCATGTTATCACTTTTCCGCCTGTAGCTTGACAGGATTGCACACCAGGCTGAATTTCGAAAGCAGCTCCATTCTGTAGTTTTGAACAATGACTTGGGCGATATGCATCACTACATGTCAAGAAAATGTTCCTTCAATCATGTGGGCTGCTTTACATTTGAGGGCAGACGAGAATCCATTAACACAACAATAAAAAAGTAAACAGTCCTTTGTGGAATTTCACGAGAGGGACAGCACAGACCTGTACAAGTGATGTCTCTAAGCACCCTTGTATTAATGCACGGTTCTAGAAGTTGAAGTATTTTGCAGCGTGACAGGATGACATTGTGAGCAAGATCCCAGACAGCACTGACATGCAATTGGATTGCCAGAATATTCTTTTTTGTTGCAAAAGTGGACTCAAAACATGCAGTTTACTTTTGTTGCATGTTCTCATCTGATTTTGATCGCCAGCTGCGTCCGACTGTGAAGAATGTCAAAACACTTGAGACAAATTTATTACTTGGCACAGCCGTTTTATTTCAGAAGTATATATCTGTGCCCGTTTAACACAGGATGTTTAGTTCTTTTTGTGTACTTTCTTGCGAAAATTTGTTTTCTGAGTGCAGATAGTTAAAAACCCATAATTTTGAGACCATCTTTCACAGTGAAAGATCACAACACAGCTTAATTTCATTACCTTCTGAATAGCTGTCAGATGGAGACTGAAATGTAAATGCACTGATGCCCTTGCAGAGCGGCTAGTTGAGCATCTGACATTTAAAACCTCTTTTGCGGACCATTGGAAGGAGTCCAGAATGCAAACACAAAGTGAATGAGTGAAGTGTGTCTATCCATCATCCATCACCAAATGCCCGAACATCGTGAGCAGATGGTTCTCCTTGGAGAAAACATGACCCCAGGGATTCTTGCCCAGAACTGCACCAACTGCAGCCAAGCCCTCATCCCAGAATTGAACGTCACCAAGGCTGTTGTTTTAGGCCTTGTCCTTGCCATATTCCTCGTGTTTGGGGTTCTGGGTAACATCCTAGTGATCCTGTCTGTGGCGTGCCACCGTAATCTGCGAACTGTCACACATTATTTTATTGTAAACTTGGCGGTGGCTGACCTTCTCCTGAGCTCCACTGTGCTTCCTTTCTCCACCATCTTTGAGATGCTGGGTCGGTGGGTGTTCGGCAGGACCTTCTGCGACGTCTGGGCAGCAATGGATGTCCTCTGCTGCACAGCGTCCATCATGAGCTTGTGCGTGATCTCTGTAGACCGTTACATTGGAGTCAGCTACCCTCTACGCTACCCGGCCATAGTGACTGAGCGGCGGGCATTATTAGCACTAATGGGTGTGTGGGCTTTGTCCATCACCATCTCTGTGGGACCACTTTTTGGCTGGAAGGAGCCGGCACCAGAGGATGAGTCCATCTGCAAGATCACAGAGGAGCCTGGCTACGCCATCTTCTCAGCAGTGGGCTCTTTCTACCTCCCACTAGTGGTGATCCTGGTCATGTACTGCCGCGTGTATGTGGTGGCCCGCAGGGAGACACGCGGCCTCAGGAAGGGCCAGAAGACGGAGAAGTCGGACCGTGCAGAAGCAGTGACCTTACGGATACACCGTGGCAACACTGCTGCCTCAGAGGACGAGGCTTTGAGGAGTCGCACCCACTTTGCCCTCCGACTGCTCAAGTTCTCCCGGGAGAAAAAAGCAGCTAAGACGCTGGGCATTGTAGTCGGATGCTTTGTTCTCTGCTGGCTTCCTTTCTTCCTGGTGCTTCCCATCGGTGAGTCTCAGTTTTCTTACTCTTTTTTACTAATGGTGAACGCTGTTCAGGTTTTCTTGATACATTATACCCTCCTAAATATTTGTGAAGACAAACCGTTTTGTCACTGTCATAAAGAAACATTATATGTCTGAAATCAGTGGTGAACTGTGAATATCAGAGCTAGGCCTTCGGTTTGAGCCATAAATGTCAAAACTGAGAAAAAACACCTCTAATGTAATTTTTTTTACTACTTTCTCTATGGTATTTCTAATGTTATGTTAACAATAAGCTTATGCTGTTACACATGAACATTTTTTTACCTGTTTTAGATTAAACATGGACATTTGAAGCATGAAAAAGATATTCCATATGTTTTATTTGCAGCTGCTAACAGACATTAACATACTTTGTACATTTCACCTATGTAAGTTTTAAAGAGTTCTTGGCATAAAGCTGCCACTGTTTTCCATTTCTAACAACTGACTAAAACCTGGTTAGGCTAACACTCCTGTTCAGAGTCAGTAACATAGCTAGGACTTTCAAATGGCATGGACTAATGTTTTTTCTCACAAAATTGGTCCCACTTATTGGAAATCAAAATATGATTGGTTGATTCCTCTGTCAAGTTCCAATTATGTTGGTAGCTAATCAGACACGTAAGGACTTCAGTTCAGCTTGTGAAATCCTAACCAGTGGAGACTATGGAGAAAAAAAATATTAGACAATTTTATGTTAGATGTTTCAAGATTTAAAAAAATGAACTACAAATTATATTTAAACATGTATTTTTGAGTTACCAGAAATGATACACTGAAGCCTTTGAAGGCTCTGAAAGTTACCCACTCTCTGAAATGGCAACTTAATAGGAGAAGGAAAAAAGTGTTTACCATCTGTTAAAAAAAAGCTTTGCTTTCCAACATTTTTGTTAGTCCATTCATCATAAAGTATTCACAAAATGCAAAGAGCAGCAGGAAATTTCAAATGCTGTAAAAAAAGATGGAAAAAGGAGTTACAGGATTTTTTTTCTGAGTGATGATTTGTTTATTTGATGATTTGTTTATTTCTATTTGTAATGTACACCATGGTGTAGAGTAACAAGCTGTCCTTCCCAAAAGAAGTAGGTCATTTTGCACACATGTAGAGACATAAGAATCTTGAAAAGGAATTGGATTTTCCAAGTCTCACATAAGGTAATAATCATTATGGTAAAGGCCAATAAATTGACAACCTTGGACCCATGAGACCAGCAAATTATTTAGGCCACCGGCTTCTGTGGTCTGGGAGTCTGTTTTGGATTATACTCTGACATTCCAGTTTGGATTCAGAGAAGGCTTGTCACACTAACACACACATACACACACACAGACGCACATATTAAACTATCAGCATGGATGCAGCAAGACCTTTGGGACAGCTACTGGTTGTCTCAAAGTGACTCATTGTTTTCTTTCATTTAGAGTCCTTAATTTTTTCCTTGGACAAAGGGGACATGTTTGTTTATGGAATATGCTTCTTGGATCCAGCCATGCATTTCACTGAGAGTCTCAGCATTCTCTCGGTGCAGCAAAAAACATCTATAATACTTAGCAGAGCTCCTCTGTATTTTCCATATGTGGAATATAGCCATTCGTTTATTTCCCACCAGATAAACATTGCTCCTTAAAGCCCTGTGAAGACCTTTCCATTCAAGGTTAGGCACAGTTGAACCAAATTATATTAGTCCAACTTGTCACAAAAAAGCGCAAATGCAGGAAATCAGATTAACGTATTACTGAAAACCCAACAAAAACAAATAAATTGCCTTATGAATTAACGTAGGTCCTCATTTTCTCAAGAGGCCACAAATATTTAGTTACTACTTTGTTATCAGCCTTTTTTGCATGCATATATTATGAATTGCAATACAGAGATTTTTTTTCTTAATCACTGCAGAAACATATTTGCTAATTAGGAAGAAATTAATGGTAACGTAATAGAACAACAGCTCTGACTATGCCTAAGGGGATCATTTATCTGCATGCCTTTCATGGGGTGCTGACAGGCCAAAGCATGGAAAAACAAACAGGAAATTAGGCAAACAAACAAGTATTTTTTTTTACATAACTTTATGTCCATCAACGCTGATCAGAGTTTTAGCAACAACAGTGAATTACAGCAACACTGAGTCAAAATGAAAGTAATTTTTAATTATGTTTATGCTAGTAATTACTGTATTCTTGCACTAATGATATGCCTATGGTCATTTTGGCCTAAGCAGAATGTCACCACATTAGGAACAATCATTTTAATGTCCAAAATGTTAACTTTTAGAAAAAGGAAAAAAATGTTCTTAATGGAGTAAGATTTTATTCCAAGTAATTTGGAACTATTTCTATAGCTCTACTCAGCATACAAAATCAATGGTAAGTGTGTCCACTCTGCCTTTATTACAGCTTTTAGTTTTTAAAAGAAGTCTGCAGGGATTTTTTTTCCACACCTCCGAAGTTCAGTCTTAGAAATTGGTTGCATTTTCTGCTTCTCACGATCCAAGCGATCCAAACACATTCAATAATGTTGAGGTCTGGGCTCTGGGGATCTTGGGTGAATAGTCCATTGTTCTGAGAACACCAGCTTCTCTGTAGTCTAATGTCTTAATCTCAAGAGTGTGCTTGGGGTCCTTATTTTGCTATAGAATGGATTTCTTCCTAATCCCAGAATTTCCAAAGGATATTGCATGATGGATGTATTAAAGTTTATACTGATTAGCGTTTGTGTTGCCTTCTGTCATAAACAAATCAGCCGCCATTGATCCTCCACCATGCTGGACGGATTGTTGTGGAGGTGGTTTGCTTTAGCAGTGTACATACTGCCTTCTGTTACTTCCAGAGATCTCAGATTTAAACTCATCAGTCTATAAAATCTTACTCCACCTCTCGGATATCCGTTTATGTTATCTCTATTTCCTTTTCTCAGTAATGGCTTCTTAACAGCTACACATCCTTTCATCTTGGTGTTGAGTTGTCTTCTCACAGTGAAAGGATGGACAGAAACACCTGTGGATTTTTTCAGATCTGAAGCAAGAATGGAGCTTTATTTTCTCCTCTTAAATATGAAAGCTTTAGGTACTGTTTAGCTGACAGTGGCAGTTTAGGTAGTCTACCAGGTCTTGCGTGGTTGTTATTGCTAATGTTAGGATTTTGCCATTTTAAATGCACATGAGAATACATAAGTGTTTGGGTCGTTGTTGTGTGAATGTCAGTGTTACTCTAAAGGTTCAGTGTGATTTTGAAGGGTAACATAATATCACCTTTGCAGCTTTTGTTGGGAGGACACAAGATTTTAAGATTGGAAGAATGGAAGAGTTAAAGTGAAAGTAACATGCACAAAACTAAAGAATGGACAAATTAAATATTGATAGATTTGATACTGAGTGTTAAAAGCTTTTGTGTTTCTGTTAAACATCTGTTTGCTACTAAAAATAAATAATTTGTACTTAATGTCTGTTTTCAGTGTTTTCAATTAACCCCTTAAAAGGCCAGGTTTTTTGTAATAAAAGTTTTATTGCACACTTCTATAACCTAAGAATAGTTCAACCAGTTTGTATTGGAGTCCCTGTAGTTACAGAAAAATAAATACAATAATCCAGGGATTTTAACAGTTAAATAAACAAAAGTGTGATCTCTGACTTTTGTACGTGTAGTACTGTACAGTAAGGTACCTTTGAAAATCCTATTTAAAAAGCAACTTATCTGAGCAGTAAGCATTTATTTACTCAGAAAATCACTCATATTAGAATAAATATAAATAACATTCATACAATAAGTAGTGATTTTATGTATGTCAGTGTGTTTGTTTAACCATTTTGAAACCTCTCCTCATGGCAGCCCAGTATTTTTTGTAGTTATCATCCAATACCTGGATTGTCTAATCAGTGCTTCAATAAATTAATAAACTGGTGACAAAATTTAAGAACTCAATTTAATGGGTGAAGGCACTGAAAAGAAATCTTGAACTGAACCTTTATTCTTTTAACTAGCTCACAAGCTATCAACTACTTTTGTAAGCAATAAACTTGTTATATTTTTACTGCATCAATATTAATTTGCATTTATTCTAATGTTAAATGGTGTCTTTACAAGCAATAACACACTGCCCAGATAAAATGTTTTAAACATGTTCATATAAAAACTGCACAGATGAGCCTTACAATAAAAGAAAATGGGCTATGGAAGCTATACATAAAAATCTAATGAATGAATATTCTAATTTACTTATTTTTCTGCAGGCCTTTTTATAACAGTTATAGGTATTAAGCTGACATTTTGCTGTTTGGAATGCACAGTCTTCATCCTAACCGTACTCTGAACATGGCCACTACTGACAACCCCAAAAGAAGCCAGAGGATGAATACAGCCATTTCATGCCCGGCTGATTTTAAAACACATTTGTTGCTTTGAGGCAAGGCAGTCCCACTGGCGAATGGGCACTCAAGTTTTTCAGAAGCTGGCAGAATTCAGAAATATGAATTCCCAAAGTAAAGCTGAAGGGGCTTTATTGTGGAGTTTGTGGCTTTCGAGATGTGGATGAGTGGATGCTCTAGGAAGGAGCATACCAGCCAAAGGCTTTCGGCCCAGGCCTCTTTAACTTGGCTTTGACGCGTCACTGGCACTTCAGCACCTCTGGTCTCACCAGCAGCTGAGCCTCTCGGGAATCTCTCTCTCTCTGTCTCTCTATGTCTTGCACTCATGTTGACTCTCTGAGATCAACGCTATGTTGCCAGACTAGTCGGTGACTCATATTTCAACGTTACAATTGAATGACCACTGTGCCAATACGTTTTCTGTGCCCACTGAATTTTCAAGTGATGTTTCAAGTGACAGTTTGACTGACTTTTTAAGTGAAAGTTTCTGCAAAGTATCTCTTAAGTTCTCTGGTAGTCTGTAAAAATTCATGACATGGTTCTCCAGTCTCAGCATGGAAATAGTAGTTAAAGGACAGAGAGGGTGGAGGTCGGTAGCAGACTCTCTGCAGTTCACTGT